TCCTTCTGCTTGCATCTTCTGTGTTCCCTATATAGCTGCTAGGCCTCCTCCAGTATAAGGAGGATATATAAACAAGTACTTACCTGGTGTTGGATTCAGCTATCTTTTCCTTGCAGAGCACAACTTCCTGCAGATCTAGTCCTGATCTCCTCTCTCCTAACTTTAAAGTTATAGTCTGCAGTATAGCAGGATGACAATGGTAGTGTGTGTTTCCTCCCTCCCCCGCCAAACAGTTAAAAATCTATGCAAAATGCAAGAAAAAGGAACGAGAAGTTCTGCTTTACCTTGCTGCTTGTGGCTTTTGTAGGCAGCATCTGTCCAGTTTAGCAGAGTTATCACAGGAGACAAGGCATTATGCATTGCAAATCAGGAACTCAGTATGTAGCAATTTAAAAATGAAAGTACAGCTTGAATGAAATACAACTCCTGGGTTACCAAACACATAGGAAGCCAGGAAAGTAATTGCAAATACAGATAGAAAGGAAAAAAGAGACACTAGGGAAATGTCTTACAATATTTTCTAGCAATCAGTCAGTAGTTTGTTGTCTTTAACATGGCTCAAAAAAAAAAAAAAGAAAAATCCTATAGGTTAAATTAGGTTGAACTTCACGTTTTGGGGTTTTCTTGTTTGTTTTGTGTGTGTGTTTTTTGTTTTTTTTTTTTAATTAAAAAAAATTATACAAGCCCCACAGGAAAAAAAGTCAAGCATGTAGTTTCCTTTCAATATATTCAAATGATAATAGTTATTTGGAGCATAGGGTATGCCAGATGGTATCACTTGAGTAGTTTATCTACTTTCCAGTAACAAGCTATATAAAATACTGATCACAGGAAGTTTTCGTAACACCCAGCAAAGAGTTTATCATAAACACTTTTAACTCTCTTAATAACCTTTCTTTTAACTAAAGTGTCATTTTCATTGGGTTTATTTAGCCCTGCTATTGCTTTGGCAAGAAGGGGAGGAGCATATTTAAAAAAAATGTTCACATACAGGGAAGACTTTCAGGTAAATCTTTGCAGAAACCATTGATGTTGTTGTAAGAACATCTAATGTAGAAATATACTTTTGATCAAATGAACCTTATCCTTGTCCATGTTTTGACATACTTAATGAACTCCAGACAAGGACTAAGATTATTTCAATGAGAAAATGGTCAAAGTGATTTAATTTTGCTAAGACAACATTTTAATTTCAATGTAATTTATTATTTTTCTTGAAGGGAAGGGAGGAGAAGGAAAGGAAAGGAAAGGAAAGGGAAAGGAAAGGAAAGGAAAGGAAAGGAAAGGAAAGGAAAGGAAAGGAAAGGAAAGGAAAGGAAAGGAAAGGAAAGGAAAGGAAAGGAGAAAAGGAATGAAAAATATCATTTAACACTGGCCTGTTATTTTAACTAAGCACATATCTTTTAAATGGTAATTTATCCTAAATGGGCAAACACTAGCTGTTGTACTCATGCCCTTCAACTAGTGCCATCATTTTAGAAGAACTAACATAGGCTGAAGTATACAGTGCGTTTGTAAAGACTTCCAGTTGGCTCCAAGCATATTTCCTGATTGGTGTTATTTTTCTATAGCTTCTGGATCTCAGGCAAACATTTAAGCTTGGCTTTAGGTTTATGCCAGGAGAAGTATTGGCCCAGATATGAAGTTTAAAGACACATCACTTTCCATCTTCCTTTCTTCTCTTCTCTTTCTAATTCCAAAACAATAAACTCCTAATAAAATGGACTGTTATTTTAGATCTTCAGAAATAATATTGTTCTAGGAGGAAAACCAGTTCACAGATGGGCATTAAATTTGGCTGTAAAGAAGACTTCTTACTTCTAAAGCTGCTACCAGTGTCTGGCTGTCTGAAGAAAGAGCAGATAACACAGGGAAAATGATGGTAATAAAACCTCATATTCCCATGTAATGATAGAGTTATTTATTCTCTTGGCTAAATCTCTACAGTTTGGTGAGATTTGCTGAGATCAGTATTACTGTGAATATTACAGTGTCTGGAAATCACCCGCTGTATTCTTCCTGAGCACTTAGTACAGTAATCCAACCTTCCTTACCCAAACCAGACTTTCACTCGACTCAGTAGTCAATTGCTGGGACTGCAGATTTTTAAGAAAAGTTAATTTTATGCATTATTTATCACAGTGTACTAGAATTTTAAGGCTATGAGAAAAAAAAATATTTTTGAGCTACTGTAATAAACATCAACACTCTGTGGAGTTGTCAGTATTAAAAAAGAAAGAAATTCAGCTGATGATATGTCTTCCATTCTAAGGTGTTGTTTATTACACAAAGAGAATTCACAAACCAGAAAGGATTTAAACCAGAAAGAGTGACTGGCCAATTTCTAAACATGAGTAATTCTTAGTTTTATTTACACCTTTCTGCAGGGTCAATTATAGTTTTAATGAATATTTGAATACCAGACAGTGCAAGATACTGTCCTTCTATGCAAATCTATGGGTGTTCTGACCTTGCATAACAGGGCCTTTACAGATTGTTTTGGTAGAGAGGGGGAGACAAATTTTTTAGTGTTTTTTCATCTCTTACTTGAAAACTCTTGTCAACTAAAGGAAAATGAAAGATATCCTGTACAGTCTTCTTCACAGGATTTCCATCCTCTTCTGATCTTGTTTTGGCTTGTCAAAGCTGCAGTGTCACTTTAGTTTAGCACTTCTGTTTCTTGCCTTGGCTGTAGACACTGAAAGGAAAAGAAGCACAATTAGGATATTTGTTTTGTAAAAGATGGAATCAACAATCGTAAGATTTGGAGTAGTCTCTATTTCCTTCAGTGAAGTTTGTCTAAACGAATTCCCCCCAACTCTGTTTTGAAACAGAAATACCCTCAACTGCATAGCCAGCAGTGATTATTTAGTACAAGTTGGATCTACCTCTGAGTATGTTGGATCAAATTCATTTCTCGGAGACAACTGCAATCTAGATGTGTTAGTTCAAATTCTTCATGACTGGCAGCAAAACTAGGTAGCTGGCATTGAAAGCTCTTCCTATGAGGTATTGTTCTTGCCATTTTTTCACCATTTCCTTGATTTCCAAGGACGGCTGTGAATCTGATGTGACCCTGCCAATGATTCTGGGTGCTCATGCATTAAAAACCTCAACAGCTATTTTGCAGATGTCTAGAAGGGTCATAATATGTATTTGTTACTGCTGTGGTAGTGATTTCAAGCTCAGTTTCATAAGTGCTGTGAGTATCTTTGGGAATCAGATAAAGTAATTATTGTACAGAGCTACTGTCAGGGTTTTTTTCATTTTTTTTTTTTTTATCTTAACCTTCCTGAATCCTTCATTCCGAAATTACAACAGAGGTAAAGTCCAGTAAACCAGAAAGTCCAAGTTACTTCCTGCACCAGGGGACATTTGCATGAGAGGGGAAAATCACCTTATTGATCATATGTAAAATAAAGAGACATGCTATGAAAGCTGCTGGGATGCAAGAAACTTGTGATCTTCTGTTAAAGCTGTCAAAAAATTTCCAGTACGATGCAAAGGGCATGGCTGCTGTGATACAAAGCTTTATGAGATCTCACTTAGAATGCCAGACTACTACCCAGTGTTCAAAAGCAATAAATTCATCTTGAACAGGGTCTGTTTGGATGGTCAGAGGATGAAGAACTTGATTAGAAAAGAAAGAATTGAACTTGCAGAGCTTAGTGGAGACAAGGGGTAAAGAGAATGTGATTACTCCAAATAATAGAAATAAAAGAAAGTGCATGTGTAAATACAGAGTAGAGAGGGAGAATAATTCTTTAGACTAATGAATAACATTGAGTAAAAGTCCTGATGCCAAAGTAAGGTTCTGGTGTAGCTTTGAAAGGTTATTCCAGTAGAAAGGACAGAAAATCCTAACTAGACAGCTGGTGAACAGACTTGATGACCCATGAAATCCCTTCTGGTACTCCATTCTTAGTCTTTTTGAAAGCTTTCTGTCTAAAATACATGCATTTTACAGGCTTTTTTTTCTTTGTGTTCAGTTTTACTTAGTAGTGACTTACTAAGGACAGCATAAGCAAATTGCCTAATGTGATATTTGACCTTTCTTTCATCCCCATGTAGTAAAACTATGTTTTATTCCAGATCAAGAATACTGTCTTCATCACATCAAAGATGAACTGAATCGCAGCAAGGGAAAAGTTTATTTTATTTTACATCTTGCTAGAAATCAGTGGTTGCCAACATGTATACTGCCTGAGTTCCTTGCAAAAAGTTTTACATACTTTCATTACTCCCTCAGAGCTGGATGTTGCTCACAATCCCTTCAATGAATCCACCCAATAAATAGGTGGTAATTTCCAGCAAGAAGTTTAAGTTCCACTGGTGCTCTCCTGCTTTTAAAACGGTGTCCCGGGTTCAGCAGTAGCAGTCATGTTTCTCCTTCGTGGTAGCTGGTGCAGTGCTGTGTTTTGACTTCCAGCCTGGGAACAGTGCTGGTGAAACCGATGTTTTCGGTTGTTGCTAAGTGATGTTTACCCTGACCAAGGACTTTGTGAGGCTCATGCTCTGCCAGGGAGGAGGGGAAGCCGTGGGGAAGCAGAGATGGGGCGCCTGACCCAGGCTAGCCAAGGAGGTATTCCATACCACAGCATGTCATGCCCGGGGTGGGGGGTTACTGGGAGTTACCCGGAAGGACACGGGCTTCTGGGTGGGACTCGTTTCTTCGCTGGTGGTATTGTATTCTCTTCCCTTGTTATTTTCTCTTATCATTGTTGTTGTTGGTAGTAGTGGTGGTGATTTGTGTTGTTCATTGGTTGCTGGACTGTTCTTGTCTCAACCCGTGGGAGTTGCACTCTTTTGATCCTCCTCCCCCCCCCGTTCCTCCAGGAGCAGGGAAGGGGAGAGCCCCAGTGGGGGGGCGGGCGGGCATCCTCGATTGCTGTCAGCCTGGCACCACTCACTGGGAGTGAGTGAACAAGTTGCCTGACTGGGTTTAAACCACGACAGTTCTTTTTGGCACTGAACGTGGGGCACGAAGGGTTTGAGCTGCTTCGGAAGTGATTGGCACTGAAGCACAGCTCCTCCTGGCACCCTGGTTGCCTGTGCTGGGCTGGATGTTCAAAGACAGGGTCTCCTCTACACATCATGCAACTGATGCTACATGGAGTAAATGGGCTGCACTAATTACACAATGAACTCGAATAGGAAATCTCAGTCGTCCAGGCATTCTGGAAGTCATCATGGACTGGCCAGAGGGCAAAGATTTCGGAATGTCACCAGAAGAGGAGGTGGTGTGTGCTGAAGAGGCCCCACCATATAATAAACTGTCAGAAAGTGAAAAGCAGTGTGCCTTGTTTACTGATGGGTCCTGCCGTACTGTGGGAAAGCATCGGAGATGGAAGGCAGCTGTATGGAGTCCTGGACGACAAGTTGCAGAAACTGCTGAAGGAGAGGGTGAATCGAGTCAGTTTGCTGAGGTGAAAGCCATCCAGCTGGCCCTGGACATTGCTGAACAAGAAAAGTGGCCAGTACTTTATCTCTATACTGACTCATGGATGGTGGCAAATGCCCTGTGGGGGTGGTTGAAGCAGTGGAAGCAGAGCAACTGGCAATGCAGAGGTAAACCCATCTGGGCTGCTGCACTGTGGAAAGATATTGCTGCCAGGGTGCAGAACCTGGTGGTGAAGGTACGTCATGTAGATGCCCATGTACCCAAGAGTCGGGCCACTGAGGAACACCAGAACAACCAACAAGTGGATAAAGCGGCTAAGATTGAAGTGGCTCAGATGGACTTAGATTGGCAACATAAAGGTGAATTATTTTTGGCCCAGTGGGCCCATGACACTTCAGGCCATCAGGGCAGAGATGCAACATACAGATGGGCCCGTGACCGAGGGGTGGACTTAACAATGGACACTATTGCCCAGGTTATTCATGAGTGTGAAACATGTGCTGCAATTAAACAAGCCAAGCGGTTAAAGCCTCTTTGGTATGGAGGACGATGGTTGAAGTATAAATATGGGGAGGCCTGGCAGATTGACTATATCACACTGCCACCAACCCGCCAAGGCAAGCGCCATGTGCTTACCATGGTGGAAGCAACCACCGGGTGGCTGGAAACATACGCTGTGCCCCATGCCACTGCCCGGAACACCATCCTGGGCCTTGAGAAACAGATTTTGTGGCGACACGGCACCCCAGAGAGAATTGAGTCAGACAAGGGGACTCATTTCCGGAATAACCTTATAGATATTTGGGCCAAAGAGCATGGCATTGAGTGGGTATATCACATCCCCTACCATGCACCAGCCTCTGGGAAAATCGAACGGTACAATGGGCTGTTAAAAACTACACTGAGAGCAATGGGTGGGGGAACTTTCAAGCATTGGGATACACGCTTACCAAAGGCCACCTGGTTGGTCAACACCAGAGGATCTCTCAACAGGGCTGGCCCAGCCCAGTCAGAACTTTTACATATTGTAGAGGGGGACAAAGTTCCCGTGGTGCATATGAAGAATTTGCTGGGGAAGACAGTCTGGGTTATTCCTGCTTCAGGTAAAGGCAAACCCACTCGTGGGATTGCTTTTGCTCAGGGACCTGGATATACTTGGCGGGTAATGCGTGAAGATGGGGAAGTCCGACGTATACCTCAAGGGGATTTGATTTTAGGGGAAAACAGCCAGTGAACTCAATTGTATGCTGTTGCCTGCTGTGTAATGCTTTTATAGCCCATCAACTAGATGTCTCCAGGTCACCAGCGACTGGCCCTGACTTCCCTCCAACCATCATCCCAACAGAGAATGAACTTTGATAGAACCGGATGAGTTCCGCAGTAAAGGAACGAACAGCAGCAGCAGGCAATGATCCAGTACTGCACACAGCCTTTCCTGCCCTGAAAGATTGTTACAAGAGATGGAACCTGACATCACGGACCGAATGGACTCTGCAGCATTATAGGGATTGGTCCATGCACTAAGAAAATGATCTTTTTCTCTTGGTCTGTGTGTACATGGATGTATATATGTGGGAGAGCGATGGTGTATTGAAAATGTGGGATCTGAGCATGATGTGAATGGTATGGAATAAGGGGTGGATAATGTCCTGGGTTCAGCAGTGGCAGTCATGTTTCTCCTTTGTGGTAGCTGGTGCAGTGCTGTGTTTTGACTTCCAGCCTGGGAACAGTGCTGGTGAAACAGATGTTTTCGGTTGTTGTTAAGTGATGTTTACCCTGACCAGGGACTTTGTGAGGCTCATGCTCTGCCAGGGAGGAGGGGAAGCCGGGAGGAAACAGAGACGGGGCGCCTGACCCAGGTTAGCCAAGGAGGTATTCCATACCACAGCATGTCATGCCCGGGGTGGGGGGTAACTGGGAGTTACCCGGAAGGACACGGGCTTCTGGGTGGGACTTGTTTCTTGGCCGGTGGTATCGTATTCTCTTCCCTTGTTATTTTCCCTTATCATTGTTGTTGTTGGTGGTAGGGGTGGTGATTTGTGTTGTACATTGGTTGCTGGACTGTTCTTGTCTCAACCCGTGGGAGTTGCATTTTTTTCGATCCTCCTCCCCGTTCCTCCAGGAGCGGGGAAGGGGAGAGCCCCGGTGGGGGGGGGGTGCGGGGCGGGTGGGCCTCGATTGCTGTCAGCCCGGCACCACTCACTGGGAGTGAGTGAACAAGTTGCCTGACTGGGTTTAAACCACAACAAACAGTGAGCCAGGAGAGTACTTAGCTAAACCTATGGTAATAATGACAGCTTAGTGTTGATAAGCTCTGTCTTTCTCTCATTTAGTTAGACAAACTAACACTGTTCCTTGCGGTTTTGAAGAGGAGAATGGTCTGTGGTTCTCATCTCTTTTTTTTTTTTTCTCTGATCACACTCTATGCTGTGACAGCCTTTATCTGTGATTGAACTGGGACTAGAATTTACTTTTTTATCTTGCCCATTCAGGTGTCTAGGTCTCTAGGGCAATCTAGTACTTTTTATGTACAACACTAACCAGAAAAAATCCTCACAGTTCAATTGAAGCCCATAATGTTATAAATTGTAATTCTGACTGAGATTTATTTCAGAACATTCACATTATGAAAGCCATTTCATAAAATGCATAGATGACTTTATTCTTAAAACTTCAGTACAAAAAGAAGCACTGTGGTCTCAGACTTTCCCTGCAGCTTTATGCCCTCAGTATACATAAATTTAAACTAAACCTAAATTTTATCTCAATATTTATTTTATTACCAATTGATGGGTCCATGGGCTGAAGTGCCATTTACAGCGCAGGGGTGCTTCATAATAGACTAATTTGCATAAGTACTAAATAATTTACATATATAAATTATATATCAAAATGTTCCCTAGAATCTATTCAATTCAATGATATTGTTGTTTTGTAGCCTTTAATACTGTTGAGTCTTTAATATTTAAATCCAGCACCTCTTCCAAAGCAAACCCACAGGAATTCTTTATTTTTTTTTATTTTTTTTTTTAAGAAATGTACTGTCCTTGTTATTAAGACAACAACTTGAACCTGATTTAACTGCACTGAGAGATATCAATGACTCCATCAGAAGTTTGGGCTCACAAAAAAGCTTCACACGAAGATTATCTAAATATTCAAAAAAGCATCAGTCATCCAGAGAATTGTAGTTGTTCAGAAGGATAATTAGGTGGGCATGAAGGTACTGCCTCAGTGATTCCAAGAGCCTTCTCTGTTCAATGAGCAATGAAAGCTTTACACTCAGATATATAAGTAAGAAAAGCAGGCAGCCAAAACAAAGGCCAGAATATTATCTCATCTAGGTTTACAAAACTTAAAAAATATCAGCAGAAAATCAAGTACAGCTGAGTGGATTAGAGAAGATCATCCAAGATTTTCCCAGTGGCTTTTGGAGTTAAGATTGGGTGGGTCTCAACAATATGCAGTATGAAGATTTAATTTGCCAACATAAACAGACAAATAAGAAATCTTTCTATCAGGTGATTAGGTACACTTCATATTAATGATGCATTGGAACTATAAAGCCAACTGTGTTTTTAAAGCTCTATTGAAAATTGTTTTATATATATAAAGTAGAACTATTTCTAGCCTTCACAATTAATCTGCTAAAACATTTGGTCAGAGTTGTCACAATGTCATTACCAAATCTATTTATTAATATGCGAGTCGAGACCAAAGAAGTTGCTTAACCATGCAGTATTTTTAAATGTGAAATTATAGGGATTTTTCTAATGATATGCAGCCTTCACTGTGGCTGTCCATGTATCCATTAGTCACTTTAGACTAGTTCTATAGTCAGTGGGTGAAAGTGTGCATTCAAATGGCACAATTTACCTTGCTATAATATGCACATCTCTCATACATCTGATGAATGGAATCCTGAGAGCCCTTGCTTTTGTACACTGATTGTAAGGGAAGTCCAGGGTGATTAGCCCACATGCAGTGAGTGATTTAGTACAATTGACTAAACATGATATCTGATGAATTTTAAGATTACTAAAGTTATTCAAACTGAATTCCACCCATGGACTAGTCTGAAAGTCCTTTGTCATGTCTGACAGCCCTTGTGGATGTCTGAGGCTTTATAGGATACATACAATATTACCATGTTCCTGTGAGTGATTCCAGCCTTAGATGCCCTCTTCAGGATGAGCACATATTTCTCCAGACTACATTATTAGCTGGACATATTCTGGTTGCCTAAACACAAGCAATCAGGGATGGCTTAGACTGCATGAGACATTGTCCATCCATTGTAACATGGGTCTACAGAAGATCTGCACTGTTTGATAGAAGGTGGAATATGGTACTTCATGCTATGCGTAAACTGAGCTGTAGATCCCATCCACTACTGTAAGACCTTTCACACCTGTCTCAGATGTGAACACCTGCTACATTTGGTTCTTAGATAGCTGCAGACTGGTACTGAATCCCATTTCCAATGTTACAGGGAATTAATTCAATTTCTAGTAAACTTGTAAATATAATTTGTCAGTTTAGTAAGCTTTTGTTTTTACAGATGTTACTCTGTCACGGGGTTAGAAAGCTGCGCTACCTGTTTGCTTTATTTTTGATCTGTGGATATACATAATATTTAATATTTTGCATTGTGTTTTGCATAGTCCCCAGCAAAGGAAAAGCACTGAAAAAAAAACTTTGCTTTAGAAATTTATCTTGCTAAAAATGCTACTAAATTTGAGTCTGATAGCAAAGTTTCTTTAAAACAGTACAAGAGCAGACAACAAATCAAGAGGAGTTGTGCAATACACATTATTTCATCTATCCTTACATACCTTTGGAGGGATTCAGTAGCTTGAACATAAGTGTCTAGTGCCGTTTGATATGCCCCAGGATACCTAAGACATCTGCATGGGGCTGACAGGTATGTCACAGGACTTACAAGAAACCCGTGTCCTCCTAGACGGGCAGCTGGAGACCAGGTGGGGTTGCCTGAGATGTCTCAAGTGGCAACAGATGCCAATGTTTAAGCAGTTGAATCTTGTTCTTTGTGTACAATAGAAGCCGGACCACAGTATGTGTTGCCTTGTCAGACACAATGCAACTAGCATGAAAGCTTTCTCTCTGACAGGAATCACCATCAATGATTTGTCTTTTAAACCATTCTTAATAAATTATTAAGAAATAAAACCTCATGCATTAAAGAAGCTTAGGGCTGGGTTCTGAGATAATATAAATTATTGCAGCTGCACTGACTTCTGCGAACTGACTCCTTTCTTTTAATCAGTTGAGGATCCAACTCCTAATAGAGCTTTTGCAGTTTTTTTACATTTCACATTCACTGGTATGGCGTTTTCTGGAGTCAAGAACATGTGCTGCTTGGCACAGTGCGTTGGGACACAGTTGCTGTCATTTGTTTGGCTTCAGATATTGTTCCTTCCCCAGGCAGCATTAGCGTGATTTGCAGTTGCTCTTTCCAGTCATGAAAAACAAAAACACCAAAAAATTACCTCTTTTTCTCTAATTGTGCATGAGAGTACATGTCCTTCAGCCATTGTATTATTTTTGGTAGCAATTGGGTCAGATTCCTGAGGGCCTGATCTTTCAGGAGCATGAGGGTGGTGGCTGTAGTACTTATTTCTGGGAATCACTCCTCTCACATCCAGGGAAAAGGTGGTTTGCCCCTTTCCAGAGAGTGTCCCATGGTGCAACCTTCCCTTTGGAAATTAATTTCTCCTACAGTATATGTGTTCTGAATGCAGCCTGCACCCCTTCTGATGAAAGACTGCAAAATTTGGGTCTAAAAATGTGCACCTATTAAAAAAAAATTACTGATTCTCCTATTTCTAGCTGCTAGATGAGCAGAATGTTTGGACTGAAGGGAATTTTTCCCACTGTTTGATTTTAGTTTTTTTTTATTAAAATACTGAAGTAGTCCTCAACTTTATAACTCCCAAATAATTCCCCAATTATGGCCTACATTGCTTCTGAGATAGAGCAGGTGGGAT